ATCCCTGCAGACATTCGTTTATGAAAAGATCATTAAATTAGAGATGTTTTAATGTAAGCTGAGTAAATCCGTGGGGTTTCTACCACTTTTGTAGAAATTTTTGTTTTATTCGATTTTCATAGTCTAGTTAGACGTATCATCGTCGAAAACGGTCGAAGATAACAATTCAAACCTTTTTTGACATATAAAGTATAGAGATCTACCCAAGAGAATCAATCCGACACTAGGATCCCATCGGATTCCAGTAGGAACCGATAAGATTCCAATCGGACCCTATAAGATTTCATCAGTACCCTATCGGAATTTCGTCGGGAACCGGGAGACGATCCGATGTCCGGAATCCCAGTATTGCGAGCCGAAACATACTACAGCTGGAATCCAATTTTTTCCGTTGTTCTCCGTTTGAAGCCGTCCCAGGTCGAGCATTCCCATGTAAAAAGAACACAAAAGAAATCAAACCTTAATCGATTTTTTTGCCATTAAAAATCGATTAAAATCAACTATTTCGAGGAAATCAATTTTAATCCATTATTATCTGTTATTCGTTTCCACCTAACATTATTTCTTAATCGCTTTTAATCGATTACTACCTGTTACTACTCGTTTCCATTCAAGATTACCTACCTCTTAATCGATTTTAATCCATTATTACGTGTTACTGGTTTCCATCTAACGTTACCTTTTAATCAATTTTAATCGATTACTTACTTCATATCGAAGATAAGCGCTTTTCGTAGGATTCGAACCAGAAACTACTGATTTTCCCATAATTTTTCTTGTTCAAAAACTATTGACTTACCACTGGGCTAAATCATACAACCAAGCTAAAGTTGGAACTCCTATATAAATTGTTTCAAAATGGAAATGGTGCAATTAAATCAGAAGCCGATTGAAATCGATAAAGTCCTATATTATAGAGTACCCTTAGGTCTACAAGTCCCATATTATGGAAGTACCCTTAGGTCCTCAAGTCCCGTATTATAGAGGTACTCCTAGGTCCTCAAGTCCTATATTATGAGAGTATCCTTATAGGTCCTCAAGTCCTATATTATGGGAGTACCTTTAGGTCCCCAAGTCTCATATTATGAGGGTACCCTTAGGTCCTCAAGTCCCATATTATAGAGGTACTCCTATGTAGGGGTGAGAAAGTTATTGTTATTTTTTTTTGTTATTATAACAATAACATTCCCTTTTTGATTCAAAAACATTAATGAAACAAGTGTAAGCATAGTTTGTGCGTACATCAAAAAATCACTTTATTCATGCAGTATCTTTATTAACTTTTGATATAAGAACTAGCTGTAAATATTTTGAGAAATCGTAAAATAACGTTTTTTGTTATTCTTATTCTTATTCTTATTGTTATTATTGGATAACAATAACAAAAAAAGTTATTTTACGATTTCTCAGAATATTTACGACTGGTTCTAATATCAAATGGTCATAAAGATACTGTATGAATAAAGTGATTTTTTGATGTACGCACAAACTAAGCTTACACTTGTTTTATTAATGTTTTTGAATCTAAAAGTGAATGTTATTGTTATAATAACAAAAAAAAAACAACAATAACTTTCTCACCCCTACTCCTAGGTCCTGAAGTCTTATATTATGGGAGTACCTTTAGGTCCTCCAGTCCCATATTATGAGGGTACCCTTAGCTTGTCAAGTCCTTTATTATGGAGATACTCTTAGGGCCTCAAGTTCTATATTATAGGGGGTACTTTTATGTCCTCAAGTTCCATATTATGAGGGAACCCTTAGGTCCTCAACTTCTATACTATAGGGGTACCTTTAGGTCCTCCAGTCCCATATTATGATGGTACCCTTACGTTCTCAAGTTCTATATTATGGAGGTACACCTAGGTTCTTAAGTCTTATATTATGGGGGTACCGTTAGGCCCTTAAGTCATACATTACAGAGATAGCTTTAGATCCTCAAGTCCAATATTATGGGAGTATCTTTAGGTCCTCAAGTCCCATATTATAGAGATACTCCTAGGTTGTGGGTGTGGGAGTGGGTGTATATTTTCCTCATATCTACACCTGCTCCACACCCCACATCCACACCCTACTGTCACATTCCACAGGCACACCCAGAATGTGAAGTGGGTGTGGGTCTGGGTCTGGGTGTAGGGTGTGAAGTGGGTGTGTGGTGTGGGTGTGGCTTTGATTGTGAGTGTGGAGTGGGTGTGGGTGTGTGAGTGTGGGTGTGGAATGTGGGTGTGGATGCGGGTGACTGTGGGTGTGGATCTATCTAAGGAGACGAACCATATCCATATGCACCCCCACCCCCACACCCATCCTATAGGAATTGTACTGAAATTCAAAACTAAATTTTTAACCACTTCCGACAGTTGGATAGCATCGAATATTGATCGGGACCCAACTGTCGGATTCGCTACTGATTCTGCAAATCGGATTCCCATCGGATTCTGCCGCCTGGTAGGATCTGATGAGATCCTATCGGATTCAGTATCGGATTCATCCATCACGACTATCGGAATCCGACAGACAAAACTTTTGGGTGCTTCGCCAGTTGGATTTCGTTGGATATCTGTCGGATCCTACCGTCGGATCCGTCTATAGTTCCACAACCCGGAATCCCATCGAATTTGGTCGGATGGTCGGATTTTATAAGATCCGATCGGATCCGGTATCGGATTCATTCACTTGGGTATATCATTTTTTAGGAACAACTCAGCAAATTCACATACAAATCAAGTGATTTTCACTGTGAAAATTACTTGATTTATTTGTAAAGGATGAGGGCGGATAAGGCCATTTTCTCGCCCCTAATAAAATCGGTATTTTTTTATTGAAATGGAATTAGGGGTAGGTCCTGATCATATTTTATAGCTCGATTTTGGGATNCGCCTAATTCCTACCGATTCCGTGTGCGATGCAATTCCGGAATTGCGTAACGGAATCGGTAGGAATTCCTAGGAATTCCCGGGAATTCCGCCTAATTCCTACCGATTCCGTGTGCGATGCAATTCCGGAATTGCGTAACGGAATCGGTAGGAATTCCTAGGAATTCCAGGGAATTCCGGAATCGATAGGAATTAGGTTCTAGGAATTCCGGAATTGGTGGGAATTAGGTTGTTAGGATTCCGGAATTAACTGAAAGGGTCATTGTAGGAATTCCGGAATTGAGGGAACTGATTCCGGGGGCGGAACTGGTTCCCGCAATGTGCAACATTGCGGAATAGGATGTATTCTCTAAAAAATGATATAGATCTCCATATTTTATATGTTGAAAAAGATTTTAATTGTTACCTCCAACCGTTTTCAACGATGATACGTCTAACTAGACTATCAAAATCGAAAAAAATAAAAATAAAAAGAACGAATTTCCACAAAATGGTAGAAACCAGACGGATTCATCCAGCTTTATATTCCTATGCCCATCGACACTTAAAATAACATGGTAACAGGAAGAAGGATCTTCCATGCTAATCTAATCTATTTTCTTATTATAAATTATTTTCAATAAGTTAGAATCAACTGGTTGAAAATGATTTGTGTCTATCACTCATTTGTGTTCACCCTGTACATATCCTGGAGAAATATCCTCAATTTTATTCGTGTTAACTAAAATCTCTATTTTGTTTTTTTTGTCTTTTTTATTAAGACACTTCATTAGAAAGCATTGTCAAAAAAAAATACCGATTCGTCTTCTTCAGAATACGATACTTTATTATTACGTTCTTGCATATATACTTTAGTATATGTAGCAGAAACAAGAAAAGAGAAAGCAGTATGCCAAGAAGTATCGGTTCAAAACGTTCGTCGAAATCATTTTATTTCTGTTCAGTCATTTGAATTCAGTAAATGAACTTCAAATCTTCTCTATATAATGTTCGACAGTTGCTGTGAGAAAGAATCTATCCGTCCATAAAACTTCCAAATATCGGAATGATCTTACAGGTTTTAGCTGTTTGTCCTTCATCTATATCTCTAGCTCCAATTATCTTATGTGTGAATGAAATAACTCTTCCATTGTCTTCTCTATCTGAATAGACCTTTCCCAATTATTAGCAGAGCCATAAAGATTATAGCTAATTGCTGTTTTCTATCTAATGATGCACTTATGATAAAATTTAATGTACTGGCGAAGTTATTAGTATGGACGTAGGGACTATCTTCACTGAGACTTTAAAAAAAAGAATGTAGTAATGTCTTTAGTGCAGAATATAAGATAATCAGGCATATACTCATAACAAAATCAACTCACAACTTTCGAGTTTTTGAGCTTGGATTGAATTGAGAATTGGACCTACCTATTGTATTCGAATAACCATTATTATCATCAAGTACTCTAATTTGTTTATTCAATTCAATATAATAGTAGTAGAGAGCCGAAGTTAACATTACAGATCGTAACTTAACATTACTGTACAAAGTAGTTGTAGCGGACTAGTGGAATTTTTCAGAATTTTGCAAACGAAATACTATTATTCACAAGTAATGATGTATTATAAAGATGAAATTAGAGGGTGTCAGAATCGAGGTATCTGAAATTAAGATCAGTTTTTCCAAATTATAAGTTCTACTTCTCATTAAAAGAAGTTTTTTGTCAACTACATTTTTTTTTTATTAAAAAAATATATTCTCAAACTTGATAACAAGTTGTTACTGTCAAGAAATAAAATTTTGTTTGACAAAGTCGGACAATTTCTGCTACCTCATTACAGTTACTTTTTATAGAATAACAATCATATACGACCTCTAATGTTAACTTATGGCTCCGACTGCTATCATATTGAGTTTAGTGGACGAATTAGAGTATTTTATGATATCGAAGATTACTCAAATACAATAGGAGACACTAATCGCAAATCTGAAAACCAGAGTTTTGGTATCAATGAATATCTAAGAATGATGTATCTTTCGCTATTCATGTAAGAGTGATCAACAAATAGAAAATCTTCTCGAACAATAGGCTATTCTTTTATCAGCTTAAGTTTCTTGTAGAACATAAAATAAGAAAAAATATAATGAACAACGAGCATGCTCCTAAAAGTCATGGGCTACGCAAACTATGGCGTCATCGCTGGTTTAAGATCATTTGCATCTTGTTTATTGTCGTAATAATATTAGCAGTTACACTTTCTATGGTATTAAAATTTGTTATACTTGCACCACAGAAGAGTAACATTACCACATCAACATCATCATCAACATCATCATCATCATCAACATCATCATCATCATCAACATCATCATCATCAACATCATCATCATCATCAATGACACATACACCTATAATAACAACAACAAATACATCTTTAGCTACGGTTAACACTACTAACCAGCAGTCAGGTAAGATGTAGTTATTATCCGTCTAATAATACTGTGAACCTAATTAGCGATCACATTAAAGTTATCTAGAATCAGTAATTTATCAAATCTCAGTCAAAAGCATTGAATGTGCAAAAAGCGGTGAAAGTCACTTAAGATATATAATTAACTTCGGAGAATTCTTATTTCTTTTCAATGGTTTTCGATGATCACGACAATTAGTATGGATTTTCCTTTAATTTAAATCACTTTTCTTTCTTCAGTCTGTCCGCATAACGGAACCTCTTCGTGCAAGAAGAAGTTGAACTGTTCAATTACTCGAAGTCAATATGACCATTGTGTAGAGCGATATCACAATTACATACGGAAATATATTTTTTATTTACATAGTTACGACATTTCTTAGAAAAAGCTGCGCTACAAAAGTGTTGTGTTTTAGAAGCGAGAAAAATCAATATTTACGATGGTTTTTTATTTGAGGAATTTTTACATTAAACAATATGGGGCTACCTGTCATTTGCGAACATAAAGAAAACCAATTAAAGTAAATTCAAATTTTTGAAAAAGTCGTTTGATATAGGTTTGAAAATATTATTAATATTTTTATAAAGCGATTCAAATTTATATTTAACTTTTGAAAATTGCATTACCGCAAATATTGAAAGTCAATTATCTTTCATCGAAATTGAGGTAAATACAGGAGAAGATAGCCCGTCTTCAGATCTTTCATAAACAACAAAAATTTTTACTTAATACCTCTTTTTTTCCAAAACCTTTCGAAGATTTCTGTCGACCCCTATTCGAAAAATAAGCTATTTTCAAAAAAACCGAAAAATCAGTTTCGTTTTTTTCCGTTTATAGTTTTGCGAGCGCATTTCCCAATATTCCTCTGTTGATACTCATTCAGTGCATTTACTTTTTTTTGTGTACTCAAAAAGCGAGTACACTCTAAAATCGGTCAGTGTGTGCGGCCGGCCATTTACACGATAACTTTTGAAAGGAGAGTTCGATTGTGGTGAAATTTTCTACACAGTTTTGTCTCAACAATATCTCGATCGAGTTCGAAGATGAGAATGATTGACCGAGCCATTCCTGAGTTATTGCAAAAATAGTCATTTTTCCCTATGCGAAGATCGACTTATCTCCGTTTTTGTAAAAAACTTTTCCTATCATAATCAAATAAAACCCCAATTATTATTAGGGATGTCACTTTACCTTTACTTTACAAAAGTAACTAGTAACTAAAATATTTACTTTACAAAAGTAACTAAGTAACTAAAGTAGTAACTTTACTATAGTTACTTAAATAAAAAGTATAGAGTGAATCCATGAAGATCCATTCACTTTTTGGAAAGGTTTTTTTGTCGAATTTTTTTTCAGTCGAAACTTCCGGTACGCTTTAGAAAACACTTTTGATGAAAAAAAATATGACCCTTCTAGCGGAAAATATCGAGTTCTGGTTGATTTTTTCGCAACGCCTATGGTATATTGTCACACGTAGGAAAAACTTCAGGAAAACACCTAAAACTTTTCTAAAATATCTTTTTCAGAATTTTTTCACTCTGAAAAATATAAAAGGTGTCTAGAAACACTTTTCTGGAAAAAGTTGGACCATTCCGATTGAAAGTTTTGAGTTGTGAGTCATTTCTTCTGAAAATAACGATAATTGTCGTTTGTCATGTTGAGTGACTCTAATTTATTTGAAGGATTTTCATTAGACTAGTAATAAAGATAATGATGTTCAAGATGACATATGGCTGTTACCATAGATGACCTCAGGTGCTTGATGATATCAAAATTGCCACAAACCATCAGCTTCAGACTGAACGAATCTGGCATAGTAGAAAACTAAGAGAACTTTCCAATATGTTGGAGTGCTGAATATGACTGTTAAGTTTCATTCCATAAAATCTGATACATTGAAATTGACATAAAAAAGAAATTTATTTAAATATAAATGTCCTGATGTGTGTTGATCGAGATGTTGCACGATATTGAACCATCGTATGGCTAATCGGTTGGAATCCATGCATCATTCGGATCCCTCGTATTGCATTGGAACCGACACTGCCATTAAATATTTAAAAAAAATGTTTATCTCACCTGATTTTCGAAGTTTTTCGCTTCTAGCTTTCAAAAAGTTGTTCTTCACCTTTTCCACCTCTTCTACTTCAAGATAAAAGACGTGAACACCAGGACTATTGTTGTTAGATCTTCTTTCGTTTTTGAGCTATTGCGCTTTAGAGAATCCATAGAAGTCTTTCGCAGTTAATAGGAGAATATTCTTTGAAAGAGTGGCACGTCTAGCTATGGTCTTCACAACAGCACCAATGTCATCACCAGCTCCTTTGCCATGACATGTAGCTGTAAATGCCCAAGATGCCTCCAAATTGAAGTCAGCCTTGTGATCAATTAGGTTCAAAATGGTGGCATTATTTTTAAAATACGCACTTGCACCATCACTAAAAGAGAGAAGAGAGTTGACATAGTACATGGACTTCTAAAAGTCTTCTGTATATAACCAGAGTAAGACTCACCTGAGATAATTGATCTTTTTTACCAGTGAAAAGTTCTTATTGATGAATGCGACGAGAATTTTTTGTGTGCAGTAAACAAATGCTGTTGTGTGTTCCATGTAATTACTGATAAATGCTAGATTTCTTTGTTCTTTTCCAATGGTCAAATGGATTGTAAACAAGGTGGCTTGATGCTGACTGAAAAAATCTTGTTGAACTTCACGCTGGCGTATCAATGTGTAATTCATTGAGAAGTCAATTTGCGCTAGAACAAACGATTTGTCTGTTGATTGACTACGAAAGTCTTTGATATATTCACGTTGTTGATGATTACAATACGTGTGAAGTAAAAATGTGGACCATCTTTCTTCAATCTTTGTGAGCAGAGAGTCAACTGAGTCGATCACCTGTTGAAGATCAAATTTATTATCGACTTTTTTCCGTAGCATCCATGAGCATTCGTCATCTAGATCCATAACATTGTTATGGGTAAGAATATCCGTGATATTTTCTATCGGACAGTTGACGCATTGTTCATTGAAGCACCCTTTTTTCGGGATAGTGCAAACCATTCGAGTAATTAGGTCTTTCATATTGATCTTCTCACTAGCTGATAAAGATGCTACGCCCATATATTTCTGATAGTAGTTGTTCCACACCTTTGATTAAAATACGATACAATCGAATCAATATACAATCAACACAAACCTGCAGTAGCAGGTCCATGTTCTCATGAATAATACACATGCATGTGTCATGTGACACTGCAACTTTTACTTCCCGTGGTCGAAGAGCAGTAAAGGTCGATCTTGCGACAGCTCCAGATAATCGTTCGTTGAATATCCGATAGACATCGAAGACGGTCATTTCCAAAAACCGAACTGCCACTGACTGTCCGTTGATTTTAATCGTGTCTTTGTAGTTGGATGAGGTTCGACTGATTTCATCTTCACAATAAAACTTGACCACAGGATCAATCGTTGAATCAGATAAAGGAATATTGCCTCTTAACCATTGTGGATAAGCTAACATTCCTTTATTTTTTCGAAGAACGAGCGATCTTCGAGCCTGATTTGACTTTGATTGAAACCTGGCAGATGAAAGAAGTTTTTAGTGACATATGATTGAACAAATGCGAAGAAATGGAAAGAAATGAGGATAGAATACGCACTATTTTTCGATTTTTTGTCGACCCCATTCTTTAGGAGCAATTGTCATTAGACGAACTTGTTCATCGGCATCGCTCTCGATGAATAAATTTTTTAGAACATCCAAAAGCTCGTTTGATTCAGATATTCTGAGTCCATGAGAATTTTGATCATATGAAACTTGAGGTTTTTCATCCAATATCTCACATTATCGATGAAGTTTTCTATACACTTCATCAACTTTAGCTCAAATAGGTGATACTGCTGATCTAAAAATAAGAGTCGTTCAAGAAAGTTCGGAAAAAATTTATGAACGTACTTGTCGTGAATGGAATCTATGTTTAATAATTTGAAAATGGTCGACAATTATTCCATTACTTTATCTTTCTGGTACTCGAGTTCATATGAAACATGGCCTATCTCTTCATTTATCGATTCATGATCAGTCATCTCATCATCCATACATCACAAATTATCATCATCGTCTTTCAACGCAGCTATGATGCCACTATCCATTAGAGCATTCTGTTCTTCTTCCTCATTCAAATCGTTAAATTCACCATTGGCAGCATCATCATTTTCATCGTCATGAACAGAAGAGTCTTCTGCCATGGCTTCACCTTCACTTGGGCTCTCATTATTGGTTAAATCCATTGATTGACGAGTCATAATTTCCTTCCATTCAAATGCATGACATCTTGGACATAACCAGCGTATTCGGTCGTCAGCCGCATCATATCGAGAAATCAAAAACATCGATGGATGTGGCGATACAGACACTACTCCTTTCGGTATACAAGTAGAGTTTACATGTTTTGTCGGATGCTCACAATACTTTCGTTTGGGCATTGAGATACAATTTTTTAAAGAAATCAGGAAAAGTACTAGCTCGTAATCGACCCTTTCCAATGTCCGAGGATTCATCTCGTACTCTTACTCGTTTGAAGTCACGATATTTGTACATAAGACTTCATGTTTAAAGATGTCGTTACAACGAGATAGAAACTTTATCAGTCGGTACTATGTTGTCCCTTTTGATTCTGTGGTCTCACTTCAGTGAGACGATTTGATGCCGTTTGTCTCGAGTTATGTGAACCAACTCATTAGTTTGACACCATCCTAAGAGCACAGCATGATCAAGGTCGTTTCTTTGAGAAAGAAACAAAAATCCTTCAAATAAATTAGTGTCACTCAACATGACCAACGACAATTATCGCTATTTTCAGAAGAAATGACTCAGAACTCAAAAATTGCAATATGAATGTTTTAATTTCTTTCCAGAATGAAAAAATTCTGAAAAAGATATTTTAGAAAAGTTTTAGGTGTTTTCCTGAAGTTTTTCCTACGTGTGACAATATACGGTAGGCGTTGCGAAAAAATCAACCAGAACTCGATATTTTCCGCTAGAAGGGTCTTTTTTTTCACCAAAAGTGTTTTCTAAAGTATACCGGAAGTTTCGACTAAAAAAAATAAAAAAAAACCTTTCCAAAAAGTGAATGGATCTCCATGGATCCACTCTATAGTAAATGTGCCACCCTTAACTGACAGTACATGCTTATTCACGATATTAGCTATGTTGAACTCATCGATTTTACAAGACATATGAATCAAAATGAAACGAAAAAATTAAGAGAAAATCTTTCATATTCATTCAAGTTAACTTTACAATAATATAGGAATAGTGTCACATCTCCAAGATTTTGGAGATGCCACCGCATCTCCCGCTGGAGATGCGGCACCCACACTCGGGAGATGAGGTCATTCACCACTGGAGATGTAAGATCTCCTTTAGAG